GAAAAGAAGTCTATTAAAGAGGTAATTATATACCCCGTAAAATCTTCTGATATTTCCTTAATATTAAGTAGTAAGTTAGCGTCCCGAATTATTACTATATTATACTTTATCACAGTATCTATTATCTAATACGCTCTACTCTTTTTCTTAACTAAAAACTACTAATTCCTATATAATCTATAGCTATATTCCAAGGTACTAGCCTCAAGCCTCTCTATAAGTATATTCTTAATATATTCACGTAGATATTTTAGTACTAGGAATCCAGGCGCTTACCAGGCTTTATACAGAACCGTGTGAATTTCCTACGGTAAGCAGATATCTTCATATATCCTTTTGTATTTAAAGAAGTTAAATACTATTACAGCCTCGCGCCTATATAATATTTCCTCTAAAAGCTCACGTTCTTATAGCTATAATCCTCCTCTAATTATTATCCCTTTTATTCTTTCTAGCGTTAACTTTATCTCGTATAATAACTCCGAGAACTTTAAAGTTATCTACTTATTAAATTTATAAAGTAATTTAACAAGTCCCTTAACTCTCTCTTATTCTAATCGCCTCTACTTCTAGTTCAGCTTCCCTCCTAGCTTTAACCTATCTGAAATTCCTTCTTAAATCAGAATAACTTTATTAGCTTTCTTCTTATAAGTACCCTAAACTCTAATAGTAGGAAAAACCCTTTTTACTTATAAAAGCGTAACTAAATCCATACTCCTTAAAAGAATCATATCCTTATCCCCTTCCCTATTAAGCTTAGTAAATACTATAGCTGAAAATACTTTTACTTTTCCCCTGCCGGGCGAGTTAAATACGCTAGTTAACTCGCTCCTCCCCTTAGTAGATCTATCGCTAGAACTGCTTACTACTATAGCCCTAGCTAGGCGTTTTCCGGGAAAATATCTAATTTAGTGCGAGACCTTGTTAAATCCGCGACCTTTACTATAACCTACTTAGTTTAGTTATTATTTATAACTATAGTAAACTAACAACCTCCGCTATAAGAAAACGATAAGAGACTCGCTATAATAAAGGGTTATCCCAGGACTATATTATTCTCCGCCTACGCTAAAGTAAAAAAACTCCCTACTATTAAGATACTTCTGATCTTCATAGTAACTCCCTTATATAACCCCTTAAACTTCTCCTGCTCCCTTAAGTAGCCTATTATTCCAAGATTAGGGTTAGGTCGAACAAGGAGCCTGGCCTTTAAGATAATCGTAGAAGTTATTAGATTAGCCTCCGATTTATAATTAATAAGCGCTATTATAGTTAGAGAGCCTAGTCGGACTCTAACCTTCGGGCTCCTAATTACTAAGACTTAGGAGTCCTCTGATATCTCCTCTACCCCCGCCGACTTTATTAATACTAGGTTAGTCTAATTACCTTTAACTCCCCCCTTAGAGGTCCGAAGTAACTTCACTATAGCTATATTTTTAAAAAGTAGTTTCTATAGGAGCTCAGAGTACGCGAGTACTTCCCTACTAGTAATACCCTTCAGTTCGTTATCTAGGACCTTATTTAATAGCTCTAGAGACTACGCCCCCTGCTTTAGGATATCTAAGTACCGCTCTACTTTCCTAGTAACTCTCAGACTAACTTTCTTTAACTTCTTAGTCTACTCCTTATCTATCTCTATTTCTTCGATAATCTCTCCTTACTATACTCCCTCCCTTAATACTCTTTTAATCAGATCCTTTTACTTCTACTTTCTAAGTTATAGAACTTTTAAAGCTACTAAGTCTTTTTCTTTCTTAACTTACTCTTTTAATACTTTCCTAGGGTTTACTTATTTATTATTCTTTCCGCTCTTCGGTTTTTCACTTCTAGCCCCTAATATTCCTATAGCTTCCTAGTCCCCCTTATCTTCTTTAATATCCGATTTATCTTAAGTTACTACCCCTGCTATTATTACCTTTGCAGGTTTAGCCTTATTCATAGGGTACTATAGCACTTATATCAGCTATACTATCGAACTACTCCCCCTAGCTTATCTCTTACTAGTTCCCTGTATTAAGGTTCCCTTCTAACTAGCTCGTATACTCTCTATTACTAGGACCCCCCTACACTACCTAACTAACTACCTCCTACTACCCGCGCGTCTATAATATATCTAGCCCTAATAGTTATACACGAGCCCCTTTTCTATATCTATTAGGAAGTCTAAATAGTCCCTACGGAAATACCTATTTTCTAAACAGTAGAAACATTAGTTCTAGTAATCCTTATAAGTACCTCCCGTATATACTCTAATTAGTAAGTTATTCAGACGCCAGGGTTAGCCTAAGTAAGCTCCCTGCAGCAGTTTAGATAAATTAACTCAACTACCGGGTCCTACTAAATAAGCTCCTAACTAATTTCCCCCGCTAAGTAAGCTAAATCTCGATCTTCCCCCGGGTGCCTACAGAGCCCGCGACACTCTTATAGCTAGCGCTAGCGCATTAAATACCTAGGTTATCTCCTCTACTATTTCTACAGATATAATCTTTAAGCTAATAATAAGGGGAACTAGCTAACCCTCTACCTTAAGGGTAATAAGTACTTAGTTAAGCGAATCCACTAATTCACTAAGGCTCTCCTATTTCACGCGACTATTAGAAAACTCCCGGACTATCTTATTAAACGTATAAATCTTAGTAGCTATCTTAACTAAGTTATTAAACTTAATTATACCCGGCTTATTAATATCAACCTTATTCTTATATATCACCTTCCTACGAACGTCCCCTAGTAGCCTGTTTAAGAACTATACTCCCTGAGTGTAATTTTCTAACTAGCCCCTTTTTACTAAGGTAGCTAATATTACAGTGAATTATCAAATAAACTACTTTATATCACTTTCTATAGTTCGCGGTTTTAACTTCAGAGCCTTAAGGAACAATCGGGAGTTTATTTATTAAAAAGTATCCTGATCCTTATACTCCTCTAAAAGAGAGACTACTAGCTCTTCTTAATTCTTACTTATCTACTCTAGTAGTGTCTTAATATACTAACTAATAGTAAGATTATAATATTAGGGAAGCTGTTTAATTCGGTCTGTATCCTTTAATTAGGTGTTATTATACTAATCGGTATACTATTCTAAGAACTTTGTAATATTAGCTCCCTTAAAGTATAGCGCGCCTAGTATACCTAGGGCCGGTATAACTAAAATATACCTAACTTCCGCTATCCTAGAATTCGTAGTCCTTGATTCTTAATAGCTTTCCTCCCGGACTTAAATATATTCTACTGTATTACTTTCCTTCGTGCCTAGCGTTCTCTAGTTCTTAGGATCTCCTAGAAATATAGTTATATCAGGGAATTTAGTAAATAATTTAAACCTTTAGTACCTGCTTATAAGGTATAGTATACCTGATATTACTAGAGTTAAAAGTACTAGAGTTACTAGTAGGAGTATAATAATTATACTCCTTATAACCTCCAGACTTAGCTCCCCTAACTGCTCCGACCTCCCTAACCCTTTTTCCTTATATCCCTTTTTCGCCTTACTTTAGGCCCCTTTTTTATATTAAACCCGCTTTCTTTTCGTGTTTATCTATTCCCTACTTGTTTTCCTTATATAAACTTTCTCTATTACTATAGTAACCTCGTCTTCTAAGCCTATCGCGATAACTTTCCCTTCTATACTTCCTTAGCTCTCTTCACTTGTATTCCGCTATTTCCTAATATCCTATCCGCTGAATAGGAGCTCCCTAAGCCTCTTTTTTCTAGCTGTTTCCTACGTGTTTATCTGTTATTATAACTAAGTTACTAAGTGATAAAATTCTAACTCCTACTTTTACTACTAGCTTAGCTATATCCTAACTATTCCTCTACTTTACTTCTAGTTCCCTGCGTAAGTTACTAATATAAAGAAGTAGGGTAGTGCTATTAAAGTGTATAGTAAGTAGGGACGTAGAGGACTACTAACTAAACAAGTAGTAAAAGTAGGAGAGAGAAGATAATATATTTATTACGTGCTATCGCGCCTATCTATATAACCTTACAGAATAGGCCAATTATCTTCCGACCCAGAACCACACTACCTTACCATAATAGTAGCTTAAATAAGCGAATATAGCTCTTAACTATTATATACTATAAGGAGGAGCTTTATATAGTATAAAAGTCTTAATTTATTAAAGTATTCTAGAGCTCCCCTATAAAGGGAAGCTCTAGGAGTTCTAGTTATATAAGTAGCCTCTAGTTAGCTAGAGCGCCTTAAGGAGTACCTCAGGTGCGCCAGGTGCACGACAAATAATTAGCTAGTAATAAGATTATGATTAGTTTAAAACCTTTTAAAACCTCTTTTAATAAGGCTAAAGACCTTAAAGGTGTTTTTTTAATTAAATATTATAAGTTACTTTTTTATTTATTAATTTTATATTATAAATCAAATTATAAATCAAAATAATTTAAATAATAATTCTAAATCATGATTTAGAATTATCTTTGTGAAAATAAATAATTAATCGCTAAGATAATTAATTTTCTTAGCGATTTATTAATTCTCTTAGCAATTATTCAAACTCAAGCTTGAATAACGATACCGTGCCTTGGATAGTGTCTTGCGGAGGCTTTTAGGCACACCGGTAACATGATGTTACTAGAATGTAGCCATCTCTGTCTACGATCTATTCCATTAAAGCTTTCCTTTTGGATCCTCTGGATCCGCTGCCGCATACAGATGAATTACAGAGAAATCGAATGCATGAATGAATTAAAATGTGAACTTTGGCTAACTCCTGATCTTAGTACCTCTCTTAACTTGTTTGCTAAAAGACTTCAGTACAGCTAGGATCTATGTGAGTAGAAATGTATAGCTCTGCTGAGGTAAGGAAAGTTTAGGAAGCTGCGGTCAGAGAAGCATGCACATTCAACTGTTTGTTAAGCTTAAAACCTCGGCGAATACTTTAATCTAGCGCAAACAGGCTCTAATCGAGAACAATATTGTCCAAAGTCCATCAGCAATTCCATCCTCGGTTCCAATTTTACCCTTCTGGTGTAACAACAACCCCTCACCAGATCCCTGGCAAGAACTTCCATCTCACCTTCTGAGTAACAACCTCCCACTGCTTCCCATATTTCCCCTTCATATACCTCTCCAGAATAGGTATCGATGTAACATAGAAGAGGTATATAAATCCCAACAACATGCTCCCTCCGAAAGCCCACCCTCCAGCTGCTGTCGCAAACCCAGTTCTCCAAATCGAGAATCCCAGAAAATTTGGATGCCGAATCACACCCCAGGGACCGCTGGTATATACCTTCCCTTTATTCCTCGAATCTTTGCGGAAGAGATACTTGCTGTGGTCTGACCAGACATGGAGGATCAATCCGAAGACGAACGGGACTGGCATCCATCGAAATAGTGATGCAGACCATGTAGGGTTGTTGGAAACGAGGTAGACAAAGAGGATCGAGTGCATGATGTCGACGAGATTTACTTGTGTTGTGACTTGAAGAGAACCTCCTTGTCCGGTCATGGGGAATCGCTCTCGTCGCCAGAGGGATGAGTAGGCGATGAAGGAGAATGTGGGTAGAGTGGCGCCGAGAAAGATTATCACTGGGTATGGTTGAAGACCGAAAGCCTGGTGGAGGAAACTCAGAAGTGTATTTGGAACAAATGGGAGATCGAAAGAGCCGCTTGGGGCTGCTGTCGATGGAAGCAGGAATGGGAAGCGACGGAAAGCTGAAAGTGCGGTTGTAGGTGGAGCGAGGAGGGAGTACGAGATGACGGGAACTGCTAGGCGGACCATTACGAAGAAGACCGTGCCAATAGAATCTCCTCCGTATTGCCCACGGAAGGGGAAAAAGTCCATAGGATCTAGAGGCGGGTTTGGTTGTTTGGACGTCATGGTTTCAGTAGACAAACCTTGTGAGACAAAGTATGAACTGAAGGGATCAGAGAGAATTTAGGGAGGGCATCTCCATAGTTTTTATATCTGAAGGGGGTTTCTCGCTGACTCTGGCGCTGAGGAAGTCTGCCTGGAGAGTGAGAAAAAGAAAATGACAGGGGAGGGAGTTAGAGGCGGCTGCAAAGGCGGATGCAGAGCGGGTGGATTTGACCTAGTCACTTAGTGCTTACAGCACATGCTTATGTTCCGACAGTCAGTCCATGATGAAGAACGACATGTCATTGGGCGCCCCCCTTCCCTATTGGGTAGTGAGAATGAAGTGAGAATGGATATTGACATCGAATTTACTTCGATAAATAGATGCAGTAATATTGTAGCTGAGAAGAGCAATCGCTAGGTAGGACGTAACGCGATATACAGAACAGAAGGTAAGTGAATCATGACAGATATACAAATAAGCAAGGCAACATACACAATCTTACACTGTATACAAATTACACAAAAAAGTCTCCCCAAGAACACCAAGCTCCCACAAATTGCCCCCTACCCAAGCGAAGAAAGTATTGCATAAGTGTTAAGAACTCGGCCCCGAAACACCAAAACTAAAGACAACAGACGGCAAGTTCTGGAAAAAGATTTGGTTAGAATAGCAAACCGGAATATCCAGGAGTGAGGAAGAAGCCAGGAATCTTTCAACGACCCTCGAAGTGGATTTGGCCAAGTCTGTCCTCGTATGGCCTCTCCCCAGGCAAACACCAGACGTGGTCCCGTCGACGCTTGGTATCCAATCCCCTACTACCGTGCACCCTCTCCATATCAAGCCGATGCTTTGATTTTGGCTTTCCATCACGAATACGCATCTTCTCGAAGAACACGTACGCGCCGTAGAAGACAGCACTAGTATTTCCAGCATACGCTCCCTTCTTACCCAAAAAGTCGTTCAGAACTTTCGACTGGATTTTCCTTCCGTCGTTATATGGTTTCGCAATGGCTCGCAGAAAGTCGGCTTGTGTACCATTAGATCCTGCGAGATATGCGCGGATCTTCTTTCGGATTTCGTCGCAGGAGTCGAATATTGGCACGCTGATATCCTCTTCGCCTTCAAGCCGAATGGAATCCAGATCGACATTGCTGTTCGCTCCATCAGCAGTCTTTGCTTTCCTCTTCGGCCCACCGATCTTGAGGCCCTTCTCCTCGCGTTTCTTGAAGAACTTCAATGCCTGGATGTATGTATTGCTTCCGCTTCCTTTGTCCCGACCACTTTGCCCCATGAACATGCCGTATCCTTTACTGTTCACTCCGATTGCCTTTTGGAACTCGCCCACTTTCATCTCGCCGCTGTTAATGAATGCGTGGATCTTGCGGCGGATTTGGTCGCAGTTCTGGGTGACATAGACGCCATCATCGGAATCTTCCTCATCGTCGTCCTCATCATATTCATCGGCTTTGCGTTTGGTAGAAGTAGCTTCACCCTGTCGGAATATTAATTTGGAACATTAGGCTGGAGTCGAAAGAGTCGCATACTATTGCTGGTCTCCCAATGTGATATGTCTTGTCATTAGCGGGAGCTGGATTGAGGAGACTGTTTATACTTGTTGGTGCCAGTGGCTGACGAGGAGGGAGATTCAAGTCATATGGGTATTCATATGGTGGAGGCATGGTGGTTGATTGGGTATGTTCTCCACAGGCTGAAGTGCAGGTCTCCTTGGGGTGCAGCAGGTGTGGGTGGGCCGATGGGATTCATCAAACAGATAAGAAGTCGCGTCGACGTGTCAATCAAAACAACACGCTTTTGGACTTAGCGACGCACGTGACAGCGTATTCTCCCACTGAGAAAGGCACACGAACATGGCAACAAGAATCCTCTGATTTGGGAAGAAAAGCACCAGTCACGATCATTGTCGTTGTTCCATGTTGCTAAATCAGTCTCTTCTCTGATTTTCAACCCTAATCAGTACAAAATATGGTGCGATTCGAGGAGAGACTCTTATTCCACGTCGGGTGAGCTTGACACACGTCACGTCTGATATTATATTACAACGTCAATTGTTAAATATAGTCCCAGTCAAATCTAATCTACAATCCCAGAAAGTATGTGTTGTCGTACTGTGCTGTACCCCCGACCTCCCTGTTTTCCCACATCTCTGCTCGGCCTCTGGATCGAAGATATTATTTCCCATCGCTACGTATCTCCCGTCAAGCTCTGGTGCTCCTTAACAAGAATCGTTCTCCTCTTCATCGACAACAGTGACAGGGGCTGCAACAGGAGCTGCTACAACGGGTGCAGCTTTCACTGGTGCAGCAACTACAGGTGCAGCGGTCGCTGGAGCAGCTGCGGCATCGTCAACGACGATAAAATCGACACACTGATCATCGAGTTAGTACAAGTTCCGCGCAAATCCATTCCTCCCATTCAAGAAATTCCTTGGAAGGTTTCAACACGTACCGATTCATATGTCTGCTGAGCTCCAGTACCGAACCAGAACCATTGCATAACCTGTTACCTGTCAGCCACAACCTCCACCAAGAGCAGTGCTACTTACGCAAGCACCGGGCACTGAGCATTTGGTACCCAAATCCGAAGGAACGGTAACATCGAAGTCGGTGTTGTTGGCTGGCAGAGTCGCAAGAGACTCATCGGCGTAGCTGTCGAAGCTGATCAGAGGTTCTCCGATGGCTGTGTTTGTGGCGGTATCGATAATCGATACGTTCATCGGGCCCTCGTGGGGAATCGGGATAACGGCGCGCATGTTGACGATCTCGCCAGCTGTGAAGTTTTGAACATTGGCAGTGTTGTCGGCGAACTGTTGACCTTTGCAGAGGAAGACGTTGCAGGCAGTCGAGTTGAATCCGGGGATCAGCGCTGCGGCTTCAGGCATGTCTTCTACGTGGCTGGTGGTGTCGGCCTTGACGAGAGCAGACACTGATTCACCGCATGCGGCGTCCATGGCAGGTCCAGGCTTTCGGGCTGGAGGAGAGGTGACCTCGCCATGGGCAAGAACCGTGGAGATCAGGGCAGCAAGGCTGAGGACTGAGGTAGAAATGTACATGTTGAACTAAATGAGTGACCAGCACAACGAATTAGAATTGAATATGAGAATGAGATGAACGATAATGAATGAGCGTAATGTTTGGGAACAGTCCTGGGCGGCTCAAACGAAAGGTGGGAAGGCATCGTGACTTATACCATCCGAACTGTGGAGTTTGAAATGAGCTTTGTTTTACATGGACTCACATACGCAGATCCATAGGGTATTTTCCTTAACTTATGCACTTCTTTCATCACATATGCAAGAAAATTGCGTATGGGGTTTGACAGTCAGTAAGAGGACCCGAGAATACAGGGATTGATGGAAGCTTGATCGCCGGCCGAGACGTTTGGCGTTGCCTTGTGGCGTGCCAAGGCGTGTCACCCCTTGTCCACCAGCCATGTGGAACAAGTAGTAAAGATTAAAACAGCTGTTGAGGCGATCATTGGAGGGCAAAAGTTCAGACCAAGCCGCAATATTATTCGGATGACGGCTTCAGTAGGATGCGACTGCCGACATCATGGAGATCTACTCGTATGGGGGTAGCTCGGCTAAAGAAAGGGGGCTTCGCTTAATTCTCCTGCGCAGGGGCAGGGCTGGGCTTGAGTTTGGATCCACGAACCACCAAAAAACCAGTCTTCGAGCGAACCTATAGCTAGAGTCCGCGGCTTTGCCTTACTTCTCACGAGTTACTGTCGCCGTCTTCAATTTCTTATTTGTATTCCATAGCTATTTTGCTTCTGACTCTCGCATGGCAGTGCGCGTCTGCCATTGTCCACGGCAGGCAGAAATGCCGAAGGGTTAAAGCAACCGAGATCCCGGGAACGTTCTCAACCGACACGAGTTTTTTCAATCAAGGTCAACATAGCCTTTCCCACTGACAGATATTGAGTTCTTTGCCACCAGCTTCTCCAGATGTTCCGTGTGCTCGGATCTACCTTCGTACTGCGAGTCGTGCCGGCGGACGAACCATCCTCCGTGCGATCGCCAACCCTAAGAACCTTCTGAGGAATTGTAAATGCTGATTGAGTTGAGTTTGAGAGAACTCTGGATATCTGCGACAAAGCCCAATAGTGCATTTCTACCTGACGGGAATATCAAAATGGCCGCTTTGGGACACATCTACAAGCATATCAATTAAGACTGTCGCGAAAGTTTATAGCGTGGTTAATCATCATCGGAGCAATCTAGACAAGGTTGAGGGTCATCAAGGCTAGATTGTCGAAGGTTTTTCTGTTTTCGATTTAATTTTGTAAGTGCACTTTCAAGATAAAGGTGTATTCTGATTTGACTTCGTAGAACTCAAATAATAAGCATAATACGCCTGTTACCTATGATTCGCTGTCACTGGTTGACATAACATGCAGATGCTATTGGTCAGCTTCGGGGTGATAATAAATTCTAGAGAAAATCTCCATCGACGTTGGTTCGCGCTGTTCAGATAGAGCCAATGGCGATCATTGTACACTCACATATACCCGTTGTCATAAAGCTATGTTATTATTGTTTCGACATAGAGTAACGTGTCTGGTTCCAGATGAAACCATGTTTGTACAAACGTCAAAGCGGGGCAACGTCCGAACATACCTCCGTAGATCCAATCTCATCCAGCCCCACTTACTTACCCTCACGAACTACAAGATCCTTCCACTTCTCGTTCAGCGGTGTATCTCGTGTAACACCCCTCCGCCTTGCCTCTCTTTCCTCCTGGTACTCGCGGTGCATCTGTATCATAGCAACTTCGGCACTTGCTTTGTCCCAACCTCCCGCTTCTCCATCGCCCGGCCACCCAGCATCCCGCAATATCTGCATCATCCTTAGATTCTGGCCCTCGAATTCTTGGTGCCTGTACAACTGTACCACCTTCCCACGACTGCCGTCATGCAACACTGGCATCCAGTTCATGATTCTGAACTGTTCTTTACACATTTCAAAGAAGTCTTCTGGGGAGCAGGCGGGGCTGATTTTCCATTGTTGTGAATACCTGTCGCAAAAACGATCCCATTCCTCATCATCAGAACTTTCATCATCGGAGCCATCGCAGCCGGGATCCTTTTCATCGGACTCTTTAATGTCATCGCCCCCAGTCTGGTCGGGGTCTGGGTTGAGTTCATTTGACTCTTTGCTGTAATTGAACCAACAATCGCATGGGTATTTCGCGCTGATTTCGTTAGGAATATCTCTGCATCCTTCTCCATATTCCCACCAGACGATAGCATTGTGTCTCGTGTCGACCAGAATAGTGGATCCGTATTGCCCCCCTGCGGCTAGATCTAGCATATATTCAGGGTAGAATGGTTCCAGGTCGTCTGAGCCACTGTTGTATCCATCATCATCGTCAACAAGTGTCTCTTTCGACTCTGTCGTGGCTTGCTGTTCTCCAATTCCCTCCAGTCGGCTCTTCGTCAGTCGCTCAATTTTTCCTTCTATGGAGAACGGTGAGGCGTGGCCGAGGACATTCGTGTCGGGCAAGATGAAAAGACCTTCGTCGTCAATGTATGGGAGATGGCGAATAAGATCGACGACTGTTTCATCATACCAGGAGAACAACTCGCTTGTGACTTCAGGCCAGCCCGTTGGTGGCGGATATCTGAAGTTGCACCCTGCGTTTGTGTTCGAATGCATGTTTGCCTGAAATCTGTAGAAGGAAGTGATGGTGGCTACCATCTTATCTCTGGAATATTCACCGAAAGTTAACTTTGCCATTTTCCTGGTCGTTCTGGTGGGTTCGATAATGGTTGGTGTTATGTTAATCATGAGGGTTAGGGTTAGGGTTTGAGGTTTGGGTTATATTTGTTTCTAACTACGCTAGCTTGCGACGAGTGTTTTTATCTCTCTCTAATAGTCTTGAAATACAGAAGGACTATACTAATAATACAGAGGGTAAGAGCCTGAAGGTGTCAGGGGTACAGAAGGTAGAGTACTAAGACAGAAGGAGATAATACAGGGTAAGTGGAGTGTGTACCAAAGGGTAAGTAAAGTGTGTATCAGAGGGTAGGCGTAGTGTGTACCAAAGGGTAGGTAGAGTGTGTGCCAAAGGGTAGGTAAAGTGTGTACCAAAGGGTAGGTGTAGTGTGAGTCGCAGGGTCGGTAGAGTGTGTACTATAGGGTAGATAGAGTGTGTATCACAGGGTAGGTGAAGTGTGAGTTACTTAGGGTAGGTGAAGTGTGTGCCGTAGGGTAGGTGTAGTGTGTGTTATAGGGTAGGTGTAGTGTGTGCTGTAGGGTAGGTATAGCGTGTGTTATGAGCTACCTACGTGCTAGGATCGAGGTTGCAGCGATTCCTCGAGCCTGAGTTAGGGTGCTAGCGATATACCCGTCTAACCACTTAGCCCTAGAGTGCCCTAATAGGCCCTGTAGGGCCTTATAGGTCTTCGCTGTTTCGGCTTCCATTAGGCCTCCTGCCGAGAAGATCAGGGGGTGAAATACAGGGCCTAAGTCGCTGTATTTAAGCCGTTTAGCGTTTGCTGCCTCTGATAGCGTAGCATAGGCTTCTTCGCGTGCTGAATCCTTGTTGATTGCTACTATTTGAACGTCGTAATAGTGCCTAGAAGTACCTATAAGCACTGAAAAATCCGGTCGTTGCCTGTTTTCTAGGGCTATAGGCGTTCTAGCTGGCGTAGGCTCCGATTCCACTTTAAGGTCTTCCCGGCTAGAAAGGGTAGTAATAAATGCACGGGTAACCTGGTTATGGCGTATAATCCAGCGTCGTTCAGCACCTCTACAGGTGTCTTCGTGGCCTATTTGAGGGTAGGCTCCACAGGCGGTACAGGGCGAAATAGGGGGCTTTACAGGGAGTAAGAGCCTAGTCCGTAGTGCTTCGGTAACTGTAGAATCCGCTAAAAGGTGGTGTTTTTGCGTGGGCAGGGTTCTAAGCTAGTATCGTCCGAGGTAGCTAGCGTTCTCAAGCTTCGATTTTAGCGCTTGTTTTGATAGGGTAGGTAGAATCTTCTCTTCTAGGTCTTGGTTAACACTAGAGAAGACCTCTTGGGCTGTCGGTACAGGGCGTCCAGGGGGTTCCGGGTAGAGATTAGGGCATATAGCCACTAGAATCGATCGAGAGGCTTCCTTAGCTGCCCTATAGAGCCCTGGGGCTAATAAGGCGTGTATAGGGAGCCCTAGGCCTCCCTCTCTCACTGGAAGAGAGAGTAAAGCCTGGCGAATTAGGGTAGTCTTCTCCCCTGGCTCCCTAGCGATTAGGGCTTGTACAGCGTACTTGATTCGTAGGTCCGCTAACCTCCAGAGGTCTAGTAGGTCTTCCGAGTACAATTGGCGCTGTAAGTGTCGTAGGAGTAGGTGTATACTACCCCGTAGGAGTAGGGTAGCGTGTTGTTTAGGGAGGTCTCGTAGGGTATATAGCGCTGTAGCGAGAGTGTCGATTTTCCCCTGGAGGAACGTTCGGCGGTGTGCTACAGGGCCTATAAAGGTCCCTAAGGCCTTAAGTCCAGTGGTTTGTAACTGGGAGATAGGGCTTTCGGTGCTCTTTTGGCGGTTAAGAGCTACTGGAGAGTCCCTGAAGGCTTCTATAACTACAGGGAGTAGTGCTGTAGTTTCAGGGCTAAGGATATAGATATCGTCCAAATAAGCTATAATTGTAGCCTTCGGTAGGGTCTTTTGGAGGTGCTCTAGCAGGGGGCGGATCGCTAGAGAGAATAAGAGGGGGGCAATAGGGTCTCCTTGGCGTACTCCTTCAGCGCTTGCTAGCGTGTGGCCTTCGTTTGTTACTAGCACTGAAGGCTGGTTATAGGCCCATTTAGCGGTCCGATAGAGAGTAGGGGCGTATTTAGCGACTGCAGCTGCTATTGAGGTTCGTCCGATTCGGTTATAAGCGTTGATAAGGTCTAAGGAGGCGATTTGCTGAGTTTTTAGGGTATTTGGGCCGGTAATAGCGTCGTCAAGGAGGAAGATTATAGGCTCTACACCACCTGGGGTGCTAACGCCTAATTGGCAGGGTAGAAGCATAGACGGCTTGAAGGAGCTGATAAGGATCGCTTTTAGGGCTACCTTATAAATAAGGTCCCCTATAGCGATCGGTCGCACACCTCCGTCAGGCTTCTGAAGGCCTATAAGTCGGGAAGCACATAGGAGGTCGACCCCTGGAGCTGTACCCTGTCGAATCATATTCGCTAGGTGTGTAAGCGCTATAGTTACAGGGGAGTTTTCCGAATTTAGCGCTATATCAAGTAGCGGGCGGGTCCAGCCGCTGAGGCCAGGGGCTTTCTCTCTATTAATCGATCGAATAGCCTGTCGTATCGTTTCAGGGGTGATATTTTGCCCCGGGGAGGGGTTAGCGTTACTGAAGGGGTTATTATGCCCTATAGGGTGCTTCGAGTATAGCGTATTTAGCGTCTCTGGAGTGCTAGGAGCTAGAGGCGTAGGGTCGATTAGGGCTCTAGAGGCACGCCCTATATAGCCTTTTTCCAGAAGCTTAGTCGCTCTTTTGGCGGGGGAGTCGTTTGAGGGGGTAGGGAGTTCAGGGGGAGGTCCCTGAGTTTCAGGGATATCCGGTATAGTCGTAGGGTAGGCTTTCAGCGTTTTAGCGAGCTCTTCCTTCTGTAATCCTAGGCCGAGAACCCTGGGAAGCAGTAAAAAGTCCAGTAATTGCTTCTCTCTAGGCTGCCGTAAGAACGCTAAAGCCGCTCGATTAGCGGCCTCTGTAAATAGCGCTGCTTGCCTGGCGTGGAGACGTGTTTCAGGGACCTTAATAGTGCTATATCTCATGAGGGATTGCATATAGGGGTTTCTTAGCGCTGAGCTTATAGCGTTCAAGTGGTCTTTAGCGCTCTCGTCTAGGGGTGTAGGCGCTGAGGAAGCCTGTGGGTGTAGGGGTGTAGGTGCTGAGGTAGCCTGAGGCTGGGGGCAGTGGATCGATTGTTGTAATCCAAAGGGTAGCTCAGATGTGAGGGGGTCGGTAGGGCGTTTTAGTGTTGACGTTCTAGGGCGTTTAGGCGCTGAAGATGCTGTGCCTTGTGTTGATATAGGGCGTTTAGACGCTGTAGGCCCTATAGTACGGCCCTGGAGTGTTGGGTTAACGGGTAGGCTAGGTGTGGAGGTTTCGCAGGGTAGGTGAGTTGTGGTGTTTTTAGAGGGTAGGTGAGTTGTGGTAGTTTTGGAGGGTAGGTGTGTTGTAGGGGTTGTTGGGGGAGAAGAGCTTATTATTATAGGCTCTTTAGCGTGAGAGGGTGCTGAAGCTTGGGGAGCTTTAGGGGGTGGTTCTAGGGGTGAGTAGCTTCGGTTGCTTATAGGGGAGCCTACTCGTGATAGTCGAGGGAAGTAGGGGCTATCAGAGGGTAGGCTAGGTGTGGTAGGCGTCTTATCGGTAGGTGTAGTTGGTATAGGCGTTGAGATAGCGTCTTCAAAGCTAGGGGTAGGGGACGATAGCGCTGTAGAGGCACTATAAAGATCTTCGTCGGACGAGCTGTCTTTGATTATAGGCTCTATAGGCTGCGTAGGGCCTATCTTTTGGCGTGTCGTAGGGCGTTGAGCCCCTGGGGAGGGTGTTCTTGCAGGGCGTTTAGTGGACGGCTTCGGGGGTATATAGCCTGTAGCGACGATTTGGGCGTATATAGGTGACGTAGAGCCTGTAGGCGTGGGGGGTCGAGAGCCTGGGAGGGAGTCTGGTTCAGGGCCTGTAGGGCCGTCGTACGCTGGGAGTATAGCGTCTACTTCCCCTGGAATCGAGTACCAAATACCCCGTGGGGTCTGAATCCTTCGGGTGCCTGTAGGGAGGTCGGGGCCTAGAGCCGTCGGGTACTTGGAGCCTGTAGGTACTGACGGTACAGGGGTCTTAGAGCCTGTAGGTGCTGAAGGTGCGGGGTACTTGGAGCCTGAAGGCGTAGGGTGCTTAGAGCCTGTAGGTGTTGAAGGTGCGGGGTACTTGGAGCCTGAAGCCGTAGGGTGCTTAGAGCCTGTAGGTGCTGAAGGTGCGGGGTACTTGGAGCCTGGAGCCGTAGGGTGCTTAGAGCCTGTAGGTGCTGAAGGTGCTGGGGTCTTGGAGCCTGCAGGTGCTGAAGGTGCGGGGTACTTGGAGCCTGGAGCCGTAGGGTGCTTAGAGCCTGTAGGTACTGAAGGTACAGGGGTCTTGGAGCCTGAAGCCGTAGGGTGCTTGGAGCCTGCAGGTGCTGAAGGTGCGGGGTACTTGGAGCCTGAAGCCGTAGGGTGCTTAGAGCCTGTAGGTGCTGAAGGTGCGGGGTACTTGGAGCCTGGAGCCGTAGGGTGCTTGGAGCCTGCAGGTGCTGAAGGTGCGGGGTACTTGGAGCCTGGAGCCGTAGGGTGCTTAGAGCCTGTAGGTGCTGAAGGTGCTGGGGTCTTGGAGCCTGCAGGTGCTGAAGGTGCGGGGTACTTGGAGCCTGGAGCCGTAGGGTGCTTAGAGCCTGTAGGTACTGAAGGTACAGGGGTCTTGGAGCCTGAAGCCGTAGGGTGCTTGGAGCCTGTAGGTGCTGAAGGCTTAGAGCCTAGAGGGGTGGCGGTAACTTGGGCGTAGGTAGGCGATTTAGGGCTATTTGGTGCTGAAGTTACAGGGGACAGAGAGCCTGTAAAGCCTGGGTAGATATCGAATGGGGGGCTTGGTAGGGGTGGAGGGGTACTGAGATTTCGGCTTGTAGGTGCTGGAGGCGACTTATACAGGCCTGTAGCCCCTGGAGCTGTAGGGTATTCAGAGCCTGAAAGGCCTAGAGAGGCTCTGGCCTTAGGGGTAGCGGCTCGAAAGGGTGCTAGTAGCTGAGGGAAATCGATTACAGGGTAGGGGGTGCCCTAGAGCTACCGGTGATTCCGTGGATTTTAGCGCTATGAGTCTTAATCCCGTGGGCTCCTTTACACGCTGTAGCACAGGTAGGGCAGGGAACAAGGCCTATAGGCTGTAATTGAAGCTCTGTAAAGGAATCAGTAGGGTGTTTTTTACGAATAT